GCCAGGCTGATCCGGCACCGATTTTAAGTATCTGTTCAGCTCTTGAAGGCAACCAGAGGTCTATTAGTAATTCCCTTTATGCATGGTGGAAGGTTGTTGAACAGTCTTGGGCCCCGGATACTTAGTGTATTTAGTGTACCAATGGTGCCTCTACTTTTCATTGGAGGTATTTTGCACCGCCTTCCCAATCTTTTACTTTCATAGACAGTGATTTCTGTGTGCAAATTCGGGACCATTCCTTCTAGGATTTTCCAAATGTAGATTATATATCTCTCTCGCCTGCATTCCAGAGAGTACAAGTCAAGTGTTTATAAGCATTCCCAGTAGTTGAGGTGTTTCATAGAATTTATATGTGCAGTAAAGGTTCTGTCTAGATCTGCAGTTTCACCTGCTTTGAACAGAGATGTTAATGTACAGCAATATTCCAGCCTAGAGAGAACAAGTGATTTGAAAAGAATCATAATTGGTTTCGCATCTCTTGTTTTGAACGTTCTCATTATCCATCCTATCATTTTCTTTGTAGTTGTGATCGTGGTACTGTTATGATCTTTGAAAGTGAGATCCTCAGACATTATCACTCCCAGGTCCCTCACATTATTTTTTCACTCTATTGTATGATCAGAGAGTGTAGCATACTCAGTTCTAATTATTATCTTCGGTTTTCCATAACGGAGTAGTTGGAATTTGTCTTCATTGAACATCATGTTTTCTGTTGCCCATTGGAAAACTTGGTTTATATCTTCTTGGAGATTAACAGTGTCATGAATGGAAGACGGTCTCGTGCAGATCCTAGTATCGTCTGCAAGGATGATATGGTGCTGTGGATTACATCTTTATGTCTGATATGAGGATGAGGAACAGGATGGGGTGCGAGCACTGTGCCTTGTGGAACAGAGCTTTCCTCTATGGGAGCTTCTGATTTAACTCTGTTTACGACTACTCTTTGTGTTCGATCCATCTCCCTACTTTGCCGGATATTCTTTTAGCATGTATTTTGTGCGCTATTACACCATGATCACACTTTTGCAAAGTCTGTGTATATTACATCTGCATTCTGTTTTTCTTCCAGTGCATCCAAGATCATATCATATAGTGGTCCAGTAGTTTGAGAGGCTGGAGCGACCTGCTCTGAATCCGTGTTGCCCTGGATTGTGCAGTTTTGAGGAATCCAAGTGGTTTGCAATCATGTTTCTTAGCACTCATTCAAAGATTTTTATAATGTGGGACGTTAGAGCTATTGGTCTACAGTTCTCAGCTAATGCTTAGCTGCCACCTTTTTGGAGTGGGGCTATGTCCGTTATTTTTAGCGACTGTGGAATTCACTCATGTCTAAGCTCCTCCATAATATACTTAGGGCATGCAAAAGGGGTTTCTCGCTGTTAATGAACACACAGTTCCACGAGTTTGGGCCCGGGGGTGAGTGCATGGGCATGTTGTCAATGGCTTTCTCAAAGTCTATTGAAGCTAAGGTAATGTCGGAAATTTGGCATACACTGATGGAGTTTTGAGGCTCATTTATGAAAAAATAATTTGGATTGTTGATCTTTAGATTGATCAGTGGCTCGCTAAACACGGAGTCATATTGGATTTCAGTATCCCACTCATTTTTTTGTAGTCATCTGTGCAAGTCCCATCTTGTCTGAGCAAGGGTCTGATACTAGATGTGGCATTTGCTTTATTTTTGGCAAATGAAAAGAATGAATGGGACAGTTAAAAATAGGAGAGGACAGTTATTAGATGGACAGTTAGAGGGGGAATCTGAGATTTCGTGCATTAGGCAGGGAGGTATAACATTTTGTAGGAGTGAGGGAAAAGCCAATAGTGTGACTGAGGTGCATGAAGCAGTGGGTAGAACAAAAGGGGGTAAAGCTTCTGGGATTGATAGGATGAAGACAGAAATGTTAGAAGCATGTGAGAATATTGTCTTGGAATGGTTGGTGCTTTTATGTAATATATGTATGGAAAAGAAGAAGGTACCTAAGGACTGCCAGAGAGCATGTATAGCTCCTTTGTATAAAGACAATGGAGACACAAAATGTAAAGATTATAGGGGGAATAAGCCTGTTGACTATAAATGGTAAAGTGTAAAATAAGAGTCATTATTGAAAAAATTAAGAGTAAGACAGAGAGTTGGCCTTAGGAAGTGTATGGAATGTGTAGACCATTTGTTTATATTGAAACATGTAGGTGAACAGTATTTAGATAAGTGTGAAGAGGTTTATGTTGCATTTATGGATTTGGAAAAGGCATATGATAGGATGGATGGGGGGGGGGGGTGGCAGCAGTGTGGCAGATGTTGCAAATGTACGGAATAGGAGGCAAGTTATTGAAAGCAGTGAAGAGTTTTTTTACGAGCATAGTGAGATTCAGGTTAGAGTATGTAGGAGAGAGGGAGATTATTTCCCAGTAAAAATAGGCCTTAGACAGAGATGTATGATATCACCATGGTTATTCAATATAGTTATAGATGGGGATGTAAGAGAAGTGAATGCTCGGGTGTTGGCAAGAGATGAGAGGTTAAAAGATAAAGAATCTAACACAAGACAGGAGTTGTCAGAGCTACTTTTTGCTGATGACACTGTGCTTTTTGGAGATTCTGAAAAAAGGTTGCAGATGTTGGTGGGGGAGTTTGGTAGGGTATGTAAAAGAAAGTAAAAGTGAATATAGGAAAAGGTAATAAAAATTTTTGGTAATGAAAGACTTTATCAGACTGGAGGGAGAGAATATGGAGGAGGTGAACGTATTCAGATATTAGAGTCTATGAAAGATGGGTCTATGACGTCACTGACAGTGTGTTACACTAGGTACACATCTAAACCTGATCTTTTAAGGAGCTACCATAGAAAGGGTGAAATTTCTGCTTTTGTAATATAGCAAGAAATGATTTGCAGGGTGCTAACGCATATCTTGATGACCTTATCACTGTTAGTTGTTCCTAGGACCAACACATGGAACGGTCAGAGGCTTCATTTAGGCTCCGCAAATTTCACTTGAAGGTCAAGCTGGTACAGAGTGAATTTGGTCAAGCCAAGTTAATTTTCCTGAGCTATGTCAATGGTCAAGGTGAAGTCTCACTTAACATTGCCAAAGTGGGGCATATTAGTGACACTGAAGTCTATATAAAATTGAAATCCTTAATGCTTATCCTTGGCATGGCCTGATTTTACAGTCGCTTTCGTCCAAATTACTAACACGTGACTCCTGCCTTAACTTCACTTACCAGTTCAAAACAGAAGTTTATAAGGGATAAAGTTTTCCAGGGAGCTTTTGAGTACTTGAAACTTTTACACTCCACAGTTCTGATAATGAAGAACCTTGATTTAACTGCATAATTTATTGTTCAAGTGGTTGCAAGGATGTAACTGGTATACTTGAAGCATACCTGGAGAGGGTTTCGGGGGTCAACGCCCCCGTTGCCTCATGGAGGATGAGGGCCTGATCAACCAAGCTGTTACTTTTGGTTGCACGCAACCTGACGTATGAACCACAGCCCGGCTGGTCAGGTACTAACTTTAGGTGCCTGTCCAGCGCCTTCTTGAAGACAACCAGGGGTCTGTTGGTAATCCCCCTTATGTATGCTGGGAGCCAGTTGAACAGTCTTGGACCCCTGACACCTATTGTGTTATCTCTTATCGTACTAGTGGTACCCCTGCTTTTCATTGCGGGGATGTTGCATCGTCTGCGGTGTTGGTGGTGGGGGTGGAACCCGTGGTTGTGGTGGTGGAGGTGATCGTGGTGGGGGTGGAGGCGGTGGTGTGGTGAAGGTGGTGCTCGTGGCGGTGGTGGTGCTGGTGGTGGGGATGGTGGCGGTGGTGTTGCTGGTCGTGGTGGTGGTGTTCCTGGTGGTAGTGGTGGTGGTCGTGGCAGTAATGGTGGCTGTGGCAGTGGTAGTAGTGGAGGTGGTCGTGGTGGTGTCTGTGGTGGTGGTGGTCGTCGTGGTCGTCCTGGTGGTGGTGGTGGCAGTGGTGGTGGCAGATGTGGATGGACGATCGGCTAACTTGACATATCAGGCTTCGTCAAATGTGATTTTTTTTTCACAGACGCCATGTGAAACTAAGACAAATGTGCATCATCTGGGCATCTTTATTGTAGACGTTTCGCCATCCAGTGGCTTTATCTACAAATTCCAGGACATAACTTGAAGACAGTAGAACTATATACAGAAAATGAGGTAATCAGTCCCTCAACCTTGGAGTTGGTGCGAAGAGCACCGTAGTCGTGTAGATTCTGAAGCAGAAGCAAGGAGCCTGGCGCTTTTATACTAACGTTAGGTGGAAAGGGGACGTGTAGCAGACGAGGGCATAGTCACTGGTAGGCGGGATTCCCCAGTGGAAGTAGGTCCTACCCAAAGAGATGGGTTAGTTGTAGTAGTAGTAGTCGTAGTCGTGAAGGTTATGTGCATGTTCTCAGAATTAAGACTCCATGATGTTGCAGTGTCTGACAAGTTGTACAAGAATGGTATACAATACCATTCTTGTACAGATGCCATGTAGCAGACTTTTTCCACCATCACTGATATTAGAGAGGGGCTCTTGATTCTGGGGAACTAAACTTATCCTCTCTTTCCTTAGATCACACACGATTGTCTTCTATTTCCCCATAGGCTGTATTACCCATACGGGTTTAGCGCTCCTATCATGAATGCAATGTAATCAACAGCACTGACGAGTTATCCCACGAACCTTCCCACACAATCTTGCATCAAATATTACATTCAGCTGTTCAATATGAAAGATTTTAGACCTTAAACTTCCAATTTTTAGTTTTGTAAAAGTTGCGCAGCTGAATGTATTTTGTTTTTTGTCCCTTGATGTCAGCAAAGAGCTCTTGATCCAAGGAACTGGAAATAATCTCTCCTAAACAAAATATGATTGCATCACCCATTCCAGGGTTTGTATGACCCTTAAGCATTTAGAGGTTCCTCATGAATGCAGTTAGTGTCACCCACCAAAGACAACCGAAAAAAAGTATTTCTATGAATTTCTGTTAACTAGCCTTACCTGTAAACAGTGTAGTCAATGATACAAGGAGAGCAGATATATGTGATAGGCATCCAGTGTTGGTCTGGCCGAGAGTAGCCATCAGGGTCGAGGAGCCAGGCCTCGAGGGAGTCAGCAACATAATGACAGAAGTCTGTGAAGGTGGGCATCGTCACGTTTGTATCACCTTGGTAAACCTTCAAGATACTGCGGCGGAGATCAACGTAATGAGTCCGTCGCTTGTCAGCCTCCACAATCTTGTTCTGAGAAAAGTAAATGATCAAAGTTACACTTATATGTAGTTAATAAACTTTAAATGTACGTATATAAACAATGACTGAATCTGTTAAGAAAAATCATTGATCAGTTAATAAAACTCATGATATGGAGTGAGACTTAAAAGTCAGAGACTTCTTTCTACAAGCAGGGCTGCCTAGCTATTATGGATGGAATATTACACACACACACACACACACACACACACACACACGCGCGCGCGCGCGCGCACACACACGCACACACAGTGAAAAGGCAGGCAAGGAGCAACCACAATTAGGTGAGTACAAACACACACACACAAAAAATGAAACCCCAGAGGGGAGTTCAAAGAGCCAGGGGAACAGAGGAAGAGTGGTCTGGAAAGAGCAAATGATCAGAAGAGCTCAGAAGGAGGATGTAGCAAGAGTGGGAAAGGAAGATAGGTGAGCTTATCGCTGAAATGAAGAGGATGGATGCAGAGAGCAAGAAGTGGGAGCCATGAGCCAAAGCTGCAGAAGCCAGGATACAGAGCCTTGAAGATGAACTGAAAATGCTGAAGCAGGATATAAAGACCAGAAGGGGCATGACATCAGAAGAGGGTTCTCCGATATATCCAATGAGGGAACCAAAGGAAAGGAAGGAGTTAAGTCCTATGTTGATGCCCCATCAGGCCTACGAAAAGGAACAGTGGCATACTATTTGGGCATAGGGACAGCAATGAGGGGGGGTTGTAGGAAGAGAAGGGGATAGGCCCCCTTCAGAGATATTATCAGGCCACTTGTAGATCCAGGAAATTATGAGGGATGCAACAATGGTTATGTTTAAATAGGACCCAGAAATGCAGATGGAACACCAATAGGAGCAGAAGAGGGAGAGGTCAGTTTTTATTCAAGGGCTCCAGGAGACAATAGGGAGGACATGTGAAGATGACTGTGAGGGAAAAAGAGATTGAAAATATCAAACAAATGGGAGAGGAGGACATGACTGAGCTGATAAATTTTCAGAGAATATGGGGATACTTGAGGGAAAGAAATTGGCCAGTCAAATTGATTTTCAAGACAGAAACAGTGCAATACAGGATCCTGCAGCAGAAATCATGGCTAAAGGAAAAAAAATACCAGCAGGTGTATCTAGACCATGAGAGAACAAGAACAGAATGACAGAAAATGAGAGAATACAAAGATGAAAGGAGCAAGAAAGAGAGAGAGCCATAGAGTCAGGAGGAACAGCAAGTACAATCACCTGCAGAACCACCCACAGAACCCAAAACAATCAAACAAACCCAAAACAAACCACACTAAAAAAAAGGCACAATACCGTGACTAGAATGACACACAAATAACCCGTACATAGAAGAGAGGAGCTTACGACGACGTTTCGGTCCGACTTGGACCATAACTCTACACTTACAGCCCCCACCCTACAGCACAAACCCCACCTACACAGCAGTCTTCCATAGTACCCTTTCAGGTTTCCCACTCCCCCAGCCCATACAAACTCCTCAGAATACAGTTTTGGAAAAGAAGTTGATGGTATGGTATACAAATGCAGACGGAATAACAAATAAGTGTGAAGAGTGGCATGAAAGAATCATGGAGGCATCCTTGAACATCATTGCACTGACAGACACCAAGCTCACTGGAAAGATATCAGATGCAATCTTTCCAACTGGATATTAGATCCTAAGGAAAGATAAAGAGAAGGGAGGGGAAGGAGATGTACTGCTCATCGAAAACCATTGGAGGGTTGAGTTGGAAAGAGGGGATAGAGGGAAGCAAGGGACTACACAGTAGGAACACTTCAGACTGGGGGGTCTGAAAGTAGTGATTGCAATGATGTACAACTCACCACAGAATAGCAGGAAGCCCATACAAGAATATGAGAGTAACAGACCAATGGTTGATACACTAGCTTAAGTGGACAGAAGGGCCCACATGAGCAGGGCAAAGTTAATAGCTGTGGGTGATTTCAATCACAAGGGGATTGACTGGGAAAACCTGGAGCCACATGGGGGACCAGAAACGTGCAGGGGCAAGATGATAGAGGTGGTACTGGAAAACCTCATGCATCACCATGTCAGGGACACTACCAGAGAGAAAGAGAATGAACCAGCATGGTTGGACCTCATTCAGCTCGAGTATTTCAGACATGGAGAATATCACATATGAAAAGCCCCTCAGAGCAAGTGATCATGTGGTCCTGAGCTTCGAATGCATAGCAGAATAACAAGTGCAGAGGGAAGCAGGACGAGTAGGATGGGAGAAGCCAAACTACAAAAGAGGAGACTACACAGGTTAAGAAATTTCCTACATATGGTTCAGTGGGGAAAGAGAACTGGTGGGGAAATCAGTACATGAAATACTGGAACACGTGACAACAAAATGCAAAGAGGCAGAGGAGCGGTTCATACCCAAGGGCAACAGAATCAATGGGAAGATCAAAATGAGCTCTTGGTTCACCCATAGATGTAGAGAGGCCAAAATCAGAGAATGACAAAAGTATAGAAGACAAAGGACGCAGGAAAATAAGGAGATTAGTCAAAGTGCCAGAAACAAATATGCACAGATAAGGAGGGAGACCCAGTAACAATACGAAAATGGCATAGCATCTAATCTGAAACTGTTGTAAAGCCTCATCAGGAGGAAAACAACAGTCAAGGACCAGGTAACAAGGCCGAGGAAGGAAGGAAAGAAGGAAGGGGGGGAGATCACAAGTAATGACAGAAAGGTCTCCAGAAAGCCAGAATGGTGGAGTATACCAAAAAGTGCTGGATAGATTCAGAGGTATCCCCGTTTGCAGACGATGTGAAGCTAATGCTGGAAAATGCCTTCTCCTTCAGAATGTTACAGTCGACCCTCAACTAACGGCAGCATTAAGTAATGGCAATTTCATCTAACGGCACTTTTTGCCATAGAAAAAATGCCTTAACCAAAGGCGAAAAACTTAATCAATGGCCTTTGTCCACCACTCCAAGAGTCAGTGTGCCATTGTTTACAAGCTGTTGCAGTCGGTTTCCATGTGTGCCTCCCATATATTTTGGATTATTCCACTATTTCTAGTGCTTGTAACTGCTAAATAAGCCACCATGGGTCGCAAGAAAGCTTCTAGTGTCAAACCTGTGTCAAAAAGGGTGAGAATTACGATGGAAATGTACATGTACAATGACACTCTTGTGTCCCATTTTAGGGAAATCCTAAGGGCACGTGAGAAACAGAGCTCTCTGGATAGCTGTTTTGTGCAACAGGGGTCAAGTGACTCCCAAGCTGGTCCTGGTGGAATTAAAAAACCAAGGAGGGAGGTAACCCCACCAAAGGACTTGGTACCTGAAGTCCTTTTGAAAGAGGATTCTCCTTCCAAGCAATAGACAATTCAGAATTTCCCCTGCTGCTGGCACATAACTCATCAACAACTCCACAATAAAGGTAAGTGGCATTTAATTATTGTTTATTTTGCATGTCCCATTCCTTTCCATATAAGGAAATGTATATTTAATGTAAAAAAAAAAATCAGACTTCAACCAATTTCAACCAACGGCAAGCCCTTTGGAACGGATTAATGCCGTTGGTTGAGGGTCCACTTAGATATAATCAACCTCCTTTGATAATTTGAAGGCGATTCATTGAGTTCTTGAGTAAAAACCATAAAGGAAGAAAATAAAAGAAAATTGTTTGAGAATATGCCAAGAACAAGAAAGTCCTTTCTCATTTAACTTTAAAAAGGTACGAATGATCAAAACACCGACGATGACCAGGAAAGTCATTCTCCAGTAACTGATCGGCTTCCAGTGATTACAAGTTTCGTAACAAGTTCAATAAAATGTGACACTTGCAGCTACTCAGGCTGTACTTCTGGGGTATCATTCTTCTTATAAAATGCATCTTCATGAACGTTTTAAAGTCAATCAGAAGCAACATTCTTCAGTTACTGTATATGATTATTGCTATTTATTAAATATAACTGCAAAGTAATACTTATGCCTGCAAAGTTAGACTTGTGACTACAAAGTTAGACTTGTGGCTACAAAGTTAGACTTGTGCCTGCAAAGTTAGACTTGTGCCTGCAAAGTTAGACTTGTGCCTGCAAAGTTAGACTTGTGCCTGCAAAGTTAGATTTGTGCCCGCAAAGTCAGACTTGCGCCTGCAAAGTTAGACTTATGCCTACATTGTTAGACGTGTGCCTACAAAGTTAGACTTGTGCCTACAAAGTTAGACTTGTGCCTACAGAGTTATGTCGTGGGGGTTCGAAAGGAGATATGATGGTGAAGATAAACACACTTGTGGATGGTAGCACTATATATTTTCAGACTGTGGTAAGGGAGCCCAACCTGCCTGTAGCTGCCTGGTAGATCTAAGCATGGACTGAGAGCAAGGTAGCGCATCCCACTCACTCATGCCGCATTTCGTGACGTCATACAGTCACTAGGCCTAGTAGGGATCGTCTATATAAAACACATGGATGGTACTATGATACTCAGCTAAGCTATACAACACATGTAAGGGGCATCAGCAACTATGCTGACAGCTTGGTCATGTTACATATGTCGTCTCGACATACAGTACTATGCTATAGGCTGAACAGGCAGGTGGTTCTGGGCTGATTCTGTACAATAACAAAGACATATGTAACTTAGAACTAATGGATGGTATCATAATGGATGTTAACATAATGAGTTTTAATGTAATGCATTACAATTATAAGTATGTCATATTATAATAAAGGATGGAACTGATCGATCATTCTGTATTCATGCACTCTACGGATTCGGAGGAAGAATAAATATATATACAAGGTGAAATTAACAGCAAAGACAAATCTGGTGCACACAGATCAGTATTGCTAAATTCTTAGAATTCGGAGGGAACGTGAACACACAAAATTTCTGAAAAACTGATCAGCTAATAACAAAACACACAGTTGACAGTTTCATTCATCTCGGACATCTAATTATACAGGCTGTTTACATTTAAACCCAACTCTGTGAGGGTAAGATTTACATATGCAGAAT